TCTTCACATAATGTGTCTGAAGTAGGATAATTTGAGCCTGATCATTTGTTCCTTGAGTGAGAACTCTGAGATGATTTGTTTGATGATCCATCACTTTGTTTTCTTATCCATAGTATTCTCAGGAGTCTTCTCCAACATTCAAAGGCGTCAATACTCTTCCTATCCTGCTTCTTCAAAGTCCAACTTTCGCTTTCATGGAAAGTCACAGGGAATTCCATGGCTTGCACGATTCTGATCTTTGTAGGTATAGACACATCACGGCATCTGAATCTCTTTTCCAGGGCCTTCATGGCTGCTCTACCAAGTGCTAGTCTGTGGTATAGTTCTTCACTGCTTCTTCCTTTACTGTTGATGGCTGATCTTAAAAGGCAGAAGCTATCCACCACTTTGATATCTTCATTGTCAATTCTAAACTGATTATATTAAATACGTTATATTCCCCAAAACATTTCTAAATATGTGAAAATATGTCTGAATTGAATTGGAAATGATTGAATTGGATATAAATAAAGGCATTAAGATCCCATTATACCTATGGGGTTAAATTAATATTATTAAAATGAATATTGTCCCTCATTTGATCTATGTCCTTAGAGGTAGTCTAATGTTAATACCTAATACATATTTTCTTCACATTGCTAGGTTATTTAGGAAATTTACTTGAGATACTAGGCTACTGAGACTTTCATTAGCTAAATTGGGATTATCATTTGAGGAGGGCGAATTTAAGTTATCTGATTTGTGAAAATATCCTTGGGCTTATTTTATCAGCCATAATTATGTGGAATGACAATTTACTGGAATGTCTTTTATAGCCTATGCTGGAAAGTTATTATTTATTCCCTTTGCGATCATAGCAAGTTCTTAGAACAAAGAACTTGTTCTTGTATAGGAGAAAAGGTGCTTTATTTTGAGGAGTGTAGTCTGCAAGAAATCTTTAAAGTGTACTGGATTCCTTGAAGAATGTACTTGAAATGATGGAGACCTATATGATATGGTCCTAAGAATTCTTGACACGTTTCTGGCATAGTATTTTAATGAATATAAGTCGATCTGTGGGAAACTCTTTAAATGTTGAAGATGTTAATGTGATGCTGAATTATATACCAAAGCTCAGGAATCTGACTGTCTGTGAGGAATTACTGTATAGTTGTACTGTGCATGGGAAGTGGTAAAAAGAATATTAGTGAGAAATTGGAAAAGTGATATGATTCCAGATATTAATGATTGGCTTTTGGAAACATGTTATTGTTGTGTATCTTGGTATTTTGCTTATATTCTGTAGTTTATTAAAATAAATTAACAACAACAACAACAACAACATCAGCTGCAGTTACAAAGGAACAAGTACGGATAACTGACACTGGAGATAGAAGGGTTAATAAGACAGAACTAGAAAAAAACAGGGAAATATAAAGACCTTCAAATAGATATTTAGCAAATGTGGAAAAAGAAAGTTGTAGTGATGCTAATAGTGGTTGGTGTACTGGGCACCACCCCAAGACGGCACAATAGGAATGGACAGAACCCTAACACATCAGTTACAAAAAGCTGCATTATGTTGAACAACACGTATATTACGACAGTGTCTTTAGATATCCTAGAATCTTGGGAAGGATCTGATAGTCAAAAGTACTAAATTCAGACAGAGCTATATGGTAGATCATGCGTAAACAACAGCAACAATACTAAAAACATCCCTACAGCAGATAGGCAGAAGCAAATGGTTGTCGCTTCCATTTTTAATAGGTATCTTTTTTTAATTAAAGCATGATGTGATGGAATGTTCCAAGTCAGGCTGTTCTGCTCCTAACATGGATCCAAATACTCCCCCCACTTTCATCCCATGGATCAGCAAGGATTATGGGCTCCCTGTTCTAGGAACAAAATTTGTCTCTGTTCCTGTTTTAAACTACATTCCAGCAGCAAAGAAAGCTTGATGGTAACCAGAAATATTTGTGTGTGTGTGTGTGTGTGTGTGTGTGTGTGTGTGGCTGAATGTTAAACTCCAGTCAATTCTGGAATTCAGAACAAATTCCTGAATCCAAATTTTTTCAGTTCTGCCCAGATGTCTTTTGCAATGAGCAATGGATCTAGGTTTGGTTTTGTTTTTTAAAGGGGGTACAAGTGGGGAAGAGAAGGTTCCTACAAAATATTCTACAGGGCCAAGGTAAGAGCTGGAAAACCACAGACTGTAGCACAGTATGAGGGCAGCAATAAAACCAAACACCAATTACCTGATGGTTTTGATCATGCTGAGTCCCATTTCGACACAACAGTGAGCATGATCCTGCCGAGGCTCTGGAAGCCCAGAGACACAATAGTAGCAGTCTCCCAGGATCTTAATTCTAAGGCAATGATGTTCCTATAGATGAGAAGAAAAACAAAAACAAAAAAGAATAGCAGCTTTGAATTCTTTATACAAAAAGAAGGTGGATATGATGAACACTGGGGAGACGATGTCAAGTTCTGCAGGATGTATCCAGAAAGAAATAAGCCCCGCTGTTTCCCACAAAGAACAGCATCTGAATGACTTCCGAGATCTGAGACTCTTGCCAAATTAGTCACATCAGAACTCAAAGTGAGAAATTCCCCATGTTTAGACTATAATAAGAGGAATGCAGTGGTTGGACAAGAAAGGAGATGGCGATCTGAATGCAGACTAGAGTTCCCAGATTACAAGGAACTGGTGATCTTCTTGGGCAGTGAAGAGCTGCTATAGTTATCCCACTGGACGGCAGTTCTTGGTTGGAGCAAGCTTTTGGCAAACTGGCTCTGACTGGTTTATCTAAAGGTGATAATGAAGATGATCCATGATGACGTAAATTAGTCAAGGTCATCTGGGAATTGCCATTTAAATTCCCTACAGTGCACTCACTGTACTGTAAACAGTGGTTCCTTGGCAGTCTAGAAACATAGGACCAAAAAAAAAAAAAATGCTTTCCCCCCCACAACATTATAAGAAATTTTAAAAGCTTTGAAAGAGGCCCCAAAAGTAGTAATCGTATTTTGTGTCATGTCTCCATGACCCTGTTAATTTCAAAGCGTGATGTGTGTTTCATAATATGGAAAGAGTGGTGACCTGGGAAGAATTAGAACAGTTCTCTTGATCCCCTACTAGACCATAATAGAAGTTGAATTAGTCTAAGTGTAATGGATATCTTCCAGAGAAAGAGAATGTAAGTGTGTGTGTCTATGAGCCTGCCCTAGAATAGGTTACGATCCCTGGAAATTTGGCTGCCTAGCAGGGTGAAAAGATGCTGACAGATTTCCATCTGTGATCTGATGTTTCTCCAGATGGTCTCAGCACCATGTGTAGTCACGGCAGCTTGAAAAAGGGCCATAAGAATTACATCATGAAGGCACAGTTCATAAAAATGGGGATGAATTAAAAAAATATCCATCTCTATCAGAGTACGGCCCAAGAAATTAGAAATTCTTCTCTCTTGTTAACTTGATTGTCCTCCAGTTTTCACGTGTTTTGGTTTTATCATTCCCAAAGAAAACTTTCGACTAGTATAGAATCCAGATACCCTGGACATATGTACTTTCATACAGTACTAAAATGCCATCCAAGCACAATAGGAACAAGTTCAGAGTATGAAACTCAAAGATGTGCTCAGTGTAAAATAATAGAAGTGCAAAAAACTAGAAGGGCCGCCAGATATAAATGGTAAAATCACATTGTTTGAAATAAAATACTAAATCCCACCACCACCAAAGCCTGTAAAAAGAGAAGAGAGCATTTGTTTGACGTTCCTATTGAAAACGGTAGGGGTTAAATGTGCCCTTTTTTTGATGATACAGTTTTATGCACTTCTGGCTTCCCTTATGTAAGCAGAACATGGGGAGGGAATATCATGTTCTCTTGCAGCCAGTGAAGTAGGCTGCTAACCATGGGAGAACATGCCACATTGAACCCACTGAAACCAGTTCATCTATGGCGGATACATTCCTTGATGACTCAGCAAGATGTTTTTCATTCATCGAACATTTACTCAATTAATGTGACCGATTAGTGATAGCTCACTCATGTCATTACTTCATGAATGAGGATGAAACGTGAATCAGTGGAGGGGTTCTTGAGGGCCATTTAGTCGAAGCCTATTCTTGACAGAGAAAATGCAAAATAGGACATCTCATCTCTGCATGAAAAGTTTCAGCAAGGAGAAGGTGCCACCTTGCTGGGGAGCTGCTTTGAGACAGACATTTAGTGTACATTTTGCCGGTAAGAGCAGTTCAACAGTCCTGAATGCTAGAAGATGACATGTCAGATGAAAAGAAGGCTTATTTACACAGAGCACCATATAATTAAATTGTGGAATTTTCTAATACAAGATGTGCTACACATCTTGTGTTAGAGAATTTTAATAGTTTCAAAGGAGCATGCGACAAATTTATGAAGAATAATCTTTTAACAGTATTAGTCTTGATAATCATTGATGATTCAGAATACATGAATGCAGGTAAGATATAGTTGAATTCATGTCCTATTTTTGAGCTTTGCTTTAACAGACAGATTAAAGGACTAGATAAGTTTTGGTTTAATCTAGGAGGGTTTTTCTCAAGTTCTTTTAACCTATGACAAAATTCCCAGGCATGATTTAAAGCAAGCTTAACCTTGTTTTATAAATATAGCAAAAATAGAGCATGGTCTAGCAGAAAGTAAGCAAGAAAAATTGACATTGAATAAAGCCAAAGAGATGAGCTTCTGCAGCATTTATTCATTCCAAGACACCTATCAGAAAGGGTTTTTTTTCTTTCTCTTTCTCTTTCCCCAGGCTAGGAAATAATGGATTATTTTTCCTATATTCTATGCCATGTTATCAATTTTGCAAAGTCTCTCAACCAGGACTGATATGCCAAGTGCTTGGCAGAAGCTAAGAGCAAGCTATTAATCTCAGTTTGGAAACTCGGCTCTGAAGACAAATGGAGAAAGGTGGATACCTCATCTCCAAAGGAACTGGAGAACAGGACAACTTACTTGTCAGCCTGGTCTTCTCCAAATTGATAAGGTCTGAGCCGTTTCTTTCTATGTCATGGTTCTCTTCAATCCATATGTAAGAACAGAACAAGGATGCTGCAAACTTGGGCACTTAGGTAGAATATATATATATACAGGCTCAGATCCTTAGTTATGCATAAAGAGGCCTGATATATCCACTAAATATAGGAAATATTAAGCAACAAAGCCGAGTCATACAGACAATGGCTGTATTCATGCACTCTGCAGAACGAGCTTTGCTCAAGACTTCTTGGCAATATTTCTATGTGCCAAGCCTGGTTAAGGTTTTTGTGTTGTTCTGCTTTGTACCCTACCATGTTTGCCATCTCATCCATTTGGTTCATTTATGGGTAACTCAATGTCTTGAGTAAACCGAGAAAATGGGTTAATTCCAAATTGAGTTAGGTAAACACTATCACAAGACTGGAAGTGAAGGCAGCGGGTAAATTCAGACTGTGGGATTCATCCAGGCAGGGGAATGCTTCATGCCTTACTCTCTGCATCTTTGGGGGCATAGCCAGGGTCTTATGAGAATATTTCTTGGTATGGTTAGATAAGGATGAGGAAGCAAATTTTGAAGTCAAGATAGGGAAGGCAGATGCCTTTGGGAGCTTGAAGGGTTAGAAGATCCTGACTGAGCCTTCAGTCTTTAGACAACTTAAATCTGGCCATAGTCTTCTGTAGAGATGCCACAGTCCCGTTCAGAAATCTAGGTATTTCTCTAGGGAGGCAAGCTGACAAGGGACGGAGGAGCCGGTGGACTTCGGCTGCAGGTGAGCATGACTGACAGCCCCAGGGCTTACTGCAATGTTGTCCAACTTGGCCACTTTAAGATGAGTGGACTTCGACTCATGCTGGCTGGGGAATTCTGGGAGTCGAAGTCCACTCATCTTAAAGTGGCCAAGTTTGGACAACACTGGCTTACTGACTATGGCAACCACTAGATGGTAGCAAAGAAACACAGCAAATATTATCCTCTGCTGACATCTAATGTTCACCTGAAGTATTGCAGCTCAGGTATGCTTGTTCTATGACTAATGCAGCCTGCTGGTGCTCCATCTCTGAGAGATTGCCCTGAGACATCATTGCTGCTGTTCTTCCCCAAGAGCAACTTATGAGTAAGTAGCCCCAGGGCACCAGAACAAGCCTGGTTCCTTGAATGTAGCCACTAGTTCTTTAACTGATGTTGGGACTGAGGTTTGCCTTGAGCCCCAGAGAGCTCCGCTTACACCCCTGTTCCAGCTGGGGCTGTAACTGCCTTTCAAGATTGTCCTCACAACCTGAACATCTCTTTGGGCTTCTATGCCTCTCACAGAATTCCTGCATGCCAATCATCTACTCTACAAAGAGAGAATAGAACAAGAAAAGGCTGCAATATCATGGCCAGTATTTGCTTTAAGGATGGGATAGGTGGGAGGAAAATGATGGGCAAGGGAACGATTTTGGAAGAACTAGATTACACTAAAACATTTATTTCCTTGGTCAAGGTATTTAATCTTTCTTCTCTCTCACAAAGATTCACCGTCAGGCAGGACATAAAAAAATAAATAAGCAAGCAAGCTTCTGGACTGACATTGGAGAAGCTCATTTGTCTACTTAATGGGGGAAATTGGTTTGGCTTCCCTTCCCAGCTGCCATGTGGGTTGTGACAGTCTGTGAAAGTCTCCCAGATGTGATGGCAAGACTGGTTGGGGAAGGCCTGTTTGACAAACCCTTGAGATACTGAGGGAGATACATCTAAATACAGAACTGGCCAAAGGGATATTCTTGCAAATAGCTACAAGTTGCCTCTCCCCCAAGTACCTGAAAGATGCATTATCCTGACTAGGCAACATGTTTGCAAATACTTGCATCAGAGCCTTGCCTAACTGCATATCACTGGCACATTTCACCAGATGAAGACACCCGGCAGTGGCCCCTTCTCCTGCTGCTTCATTATGCATCCATGTATACTGCTGAGTTTCTGAATTAAGCCATACATATGGTGATTGTATCTACCCTTTGCAATTATCCTTCAGATGTAGAGCACTGTCTGTACTTCAGAATGGAGATCATGATACACTGATGCAGTGACTAATATACGGGTGTGACAGTTCTGACTTGGAGGCAAATAGGCTTTCTTCTCTTGGTGACCTCTGTGTTATGGAATGACTTCCTTTCTGAGGCCACCATGCTGCCCTCATTCAAACTTCTCTTCAAAACACAACCTTTTTATGTTGGCCTTCCCCAATTACAAACTCCCCCCAACATTTCCTTTTAGTGAATTGTTTTGTACTTTGTTCCCCCCCGCCCCCGCTTTTGTTTTGTTTTATTCTGCAATGAATTCATGATATTTTGTAAACCATTTCAGGATAGTTTATATCAGACTTGGTATTGCATTTCTTTAAATAAACAAGCGGAAATTCAGATCAGTTCAGCCATATTTTGTAAGGTGACAGAAACTCTTGGAGTTGCCAGCACAAGGCTAAAGGAAGAAGAAAACATAATCAATTTTAGAAAACAGGAAGAGAATTTGCATTTTTATTCCTCCATAACCTGTGCTGTCCCATGTTATTAAGCACTGGATTCTTTTTTTTTTTTTAATGCATTTGGCAGGTACTGGCTATGATGATGATGAAGATGATGATGATGATTTTGGTTCAGGAGTGTCTTCATAGTCAGTTAACAAGGAAAAAGGAAATAAACAGTGTTTCTCTTCTACCCAAACAGAAGAGAACCCAACTTTTCTGACTCCTACCAGCTTCTTATTTAGCAAGAAAAAATGTCAGAATTTGGAAAAGATATATCAAGATTTAGTGTCAAAGTGTCACTCAGCACTGCTGCTGCTCCAGAAGCTGGTTCCTGGTGTGGTGGGTGGGTGGGGGGATGTGTATGCAGAAGCCACTAGTGGGGATAGATTCTGCTCCATTTACTAGGCTAATTGATTCATCATCTGAGTTAACTCATCCATCTGAACTGCCATGCAGTTTTAATTCTGGAGTAAGATGCTGGTGACCTGATCCATGGTTAAGGGATTAGTAGCCATGTTTAATCCTGGAGTCTTGGGGCTGTGTCCTCCTCCTATGAAGCTAACGATACTGTCAAAGCTTTACCCAGGGCAAGGTAATATTGCTTCCTCCAGAAACCCAACCAGCAAGAGGGGCTAACATATGCAAGAAGCCCTAATAATGAACATCAGCTACAGCAGAATCAAGCAATCAAGTCCTCTAATAGTCCCAGGGCTTAAACATTGTGACTCCTTCTTCTGCCCTTTAGTAGTAACAGATTTCCTGTTGCTCATTTCTCCACCTTAGACATGGAGGTTTCCTGCACCATCTGTTGATAACAACCTGTCTAGTCTCAACCTCTTCACCAGATTCAACCCTCACATCTAGTTGTCCTGATTGCGGGAAAGACTTTCCTCCAATCAAACTCAGTTCCTTTTTTAAAGACTATGCAAATAGACAGCAACTTTAAGAGCATTTATTTCCTACTAATGATTCCAGAGATTTGGGTGCATCAGCAGGAATGGAAAATACAACTTGCCACCTTCCCTGAGAAAATGAGTAGGTTTCTTAAGGATCATTAGCTCATTTCATGAAATATGGAATGGGAATGAAACATTTGCTTAAGAAGAACAAAAAGGCAATTTGGCTGGGCAAACAAGTGGAAGAAATGATTAATACAGCAAGATTAAATCAGGTATATTTCAAAACTATGCAACAGCCTGCCAAGCACATGTTAGTTTTGCCTCCCCAAGACTGTAAAGTCAAGGAGCTAAACAAACCAACATTTTTGCATTTGGCATAGTGAGTTGCCAATTGTGCAAATCTGATTCAAGACAAAAAAAGATTGTGTGTGTGTGTGTTGTGTTGTGTGTGCGTGTATGTGTTTCTCTATCATGCTTCTCTATTAAAGTTCAGAAAAAAGGAATCAGCAGCTGGACTCACGTGGGCTAAGCGATCGAATCTGGCAAAGAGTTCATTCAGCATCCGAACCAGCTCTTGAGCTGATAACGTTGTAGAGAGATTGGTGAATCCTTTTACATCTGCAAAAAGAATGCTGAACACAGAAAGGAGATGAACAATCAGATTAGTATGGCTACAGGATGGCTTTTCAGAGCAAGTAAGTGAAGGAGCAATGCTGCATACAGGGACATTCATGGTTGATTGATCGTGACATCAAGTCTTAGTGACTACATAGATTTTCTCCAGAAGGATCGGTCCCCAACCTGATCCTTCAGTTTTCCAACGATGTAGACCAGAAACCTTGGCGGAGGCAAGGTTGAGGGAAACAGAAGAGGGAAAAGAGAGCAGATAAGGTGGATGAACAGGAGTTAATACTGGGGATAGTTCAGCTGGCAAGCATTTGACTTTGCAATCACCCAAAGTCAACCTAACTCAATGGCCCTTTACTAACCAGGGAGAGGGAGGGGGAAGGAGAGAGAGCGAGAGGGATTGATTTACTAAGCCTGTAACGGGATGGCCCAGATAACTGGAGAATTGTGTTTATGTTTAATAAACTATGCAGGCCTGAATAGTTATTTTAACTGAATAGTTAAAAAGGCATGATTTCAACTGGCAGGATTTCTAGCTAGCAGGACAGGCTAAACTGGGTTTCAGGATACCCTGCTGTACTCAAGAGGATTGTTCCTTCCCCATCCATGGTCTTCTCTCCCTGCTTTTCTCCCAGTTTCCTGGCAGCTGCCCAGCGAGGGATAAATCAGCCTTCCACCTCCTGAATTGTGCACTCCTGTGTGATTGGTGCAACTGCCTGCGTGTACAGGAGTAACTGAAAAGATTACAGCTGAAGCTTAATCGTGTTTACAGGGAAGCAAGTCCCATCAATTCTGGTAATACATCCTTTGAAGTTATCATGCTTGAGATGGCAGGCTCAGTGGACTGCAATGGAAAACTGGAGCACTTAAAATAAATAAAATATAAGACATATAAAATGAAATCAAATAAAAATTAAACAAAACAAAATAAAATCCTCTCATTTGTATCAGAATGTGAGGTGAGCAAAAGAGAGCTGAGATATTCTGAGAAATGAGACAGGAACATCTCAGTTTTCAGAAAGGAAGAATGAGAGAAAAACAACGATGAGAAGAGAAACCCAACAACCCAGGAACATCTCCCAACCTTCCAAATCAATCATGAAAGATGAGCATGCAAGACCCCAAATGGTATTCGGCAGAAGAAGAGATGGTTAATGCTGAAAAAAGAGAAGCACCTGACATTTTCGTAACGGTGAATATAGATCTTATGGAACTGGTGTTGTAAATGCTCATCCTCCACGTTGCTCATGTCATTAATCATTTCCAGCACAACAAATCGAGGTAACACAGACAGAACCAGCCGTTCCTGAAACAACAAACAAGAACAGAGAGAGCAATGAATGGTCTCTGGATTTAATGAACCAATAAAATTTGCAACAAACCAAATCAAAAGCAAAAACCAACCCTCACCAGATGTTTTAAGGCTGGGGAAAGCCTATCTGTTGATTAAGGTGGAAAATAATGATACAATAATTGAATCTTCCATTTGTAATGCAGTTTGTTTATTCTTTTGAAATGTGTTGGATTATTTTCTCTTTTTTTTTTCTAAAAACAATGTGCATGGAACATTGTTTAAAAGGAGATATGGAAGACTTTGGATTTTCCAGATCAACTTGCAGTGGAAAGAAATATAAAATCCCTCCTTCATGTCAGATTAGCCCAGAAAACAATTTGGATTCTTCAAGCATTTTAGAGAAAGGCATGAAGTTATGATCCCTCAAGATGCACTTAAAACTTTTGCCAGGGACTCCTGAAAAATATTAATGGATGAAACATAGCTTTTCACATTCCAGCATGTTTCCTTCCATGTTGGATTTCTGGGTCCCTATTTCTGGGGGTCCACCAGATTGGACCACCGATTAACCTTGCAGATGGATTTCTGCAAAACAAGATGTTAATACTTTGTATTTAAAATGGAGTAACCACAGAATCTGAACTAAAAATTAAATATGTCTCCAGAAAAAACATATTGGGTAGAAACATCATTGTGAATTAAAACTGCTTATTAAAATGACTCCATTAGCTACGTTAGCATCTAGGAGCATCTACCCGCCTTAGGAACAGGTAGGGCGATGGAATCTATAGCCTCTTCTCTTGCTTCAAACCCATAGCCGATTTCAGCCAGACATTTTGCCAATCCCCTTCCCTTTTCTGGGGCCCAATATGCACTGACCCTCTCGAACCCATCCTGCCCTTCACCCTTTCCTTTGGAGAAGTGAAAGAGGTAAAATGATTGGGAAAGAGAGCCATGAAGTCTTGCAGAATTTCTCCTTGTCTGAAACTAACATTACCACTCTGTTGTTAGAAACATTCTTGTTATGAAAATAAATGGAAGAGGAAGGTGATGATTGCAAGATGAAGGACCAGCATTACTTTTATTTTCAAGAATGCTTCCAGACTTTGCAGATATTCTAGAAAATAAAAATGGGGTTGGCTGCTATGCTTGGAAGTGTGTTCAAAAGTCAGGAAACAGATTATGGAAAGCATTTTACTGATGCACATGGTATCACTGTGGTCCAGAATAGCTGATAGGGATCAATTTTATCCTTAAACCTTCTAGTAAGTGGACGTTTGATAATTATCCAACCTAACATGCCAACAGTTTTGTAGGCGTGTTCCACAATATGCTACTCTAGACTTGAGTAATCATTTCCTGTAAGGGATCATGAGCTTTTAATCTGAAAAATACAGGTAGAATCTAAGTGGAATCTCAGTAGATTTCTAAGAATTTAAGTAGAGGCTCTCCAAAGCTGTGAGCCCTCTTCGTTGTCTGTTCCTCCATCTTTTTCTTCAAAGTAAGGTTTTCTTTGTTGCTTTTGGGTTGGAGAAAGGAAAGCCTGGCAAAGAGAAATGGGGAATGGTTGAGGCAGTTACGGATCTCCATATTCATCAGACCTAACTGATATGACTCAAAATGGTGCTAGACCAGTGTTTCTCAACCTCGGCAACTTGAAGATGTGTGGACTTCAACTCCCAGAATTCTGGGCATTGAAGTCCACACCTCTTCAAGTTGCCGAGGTTGAGAAACATTGTGCTAGACTCTTGAATGGGAGAAGTCCACCATTTTGAGCTCCTCCTGTTTGAGTCTGATACTTAGCCACAAGCACTGCTTGGTCTGCAGGCCAATTATTAGTGAAAAGATATGTTGGTTTCAGTGTACCAGACCCACTTTGAACTCTAGTTTTGGTGCTGTATTTCCACAGTCTCTCTTCATAACAGCCTTTCATAACCCTGTTTCAGACTGTCTGAATCCTCACGTAGCACTCAGAACTGGACTCAGTAGTTGATGAATGCAGAATTGCGTACACCTTTTACTTGCTATAATTAGAAAACTGTATTTCTCTTAATGCAGCGTAGAAGGATTGCTTTTCTGAAGTTGAGCTCTTAATAGGAACAGTGGGATATTAATAATAGATAAATGAGTATGATCAGTGCATTTTAGCAGATTTTCCTCTGCTCTTTCGTATTTGTACTGCCTTGCCTTCTGGCTTAAAAAAGCTGAAGTACACATCACTTTGGAGGAGAGGCTCCAGAGAGAGAAGTCACTTCACACATCAAAGACATTATATCAAGATCCATTCTCTCATCACAAAACTTTGCCTGGGGTAGTACAGACTCAGTTTTTGCTGTTCCTTTGGACCAGTGCTTATTATATATCTCATTCCATTGAGGGAATCTTCCTGTTCTGTGCCTGAATGTTAGAATATAAATAGTTATATATGGTCCTGCATTTTTAGCTTAAAGCAATATGAATCATACCTTTGCATCTGGAGGTCTTCAGCTGAGTGAATGGCTGTGGCCACGGATAAGCTCATAAAAGGATATTCAAGAGAAAGCACCTATCTTCTCAAAACGCTTTGTGTTCAAGAGTTTGTTCCTTTTTAAAAAAAGTCATTTATCACAGCAGTAATAACACTTTTTGTCTTCAGTCCAAATGAATATTATGTGTTATTGCTAGGTTCTTATAAGGCATGGAACTTACCTTAGGGCAAGAAAAACTAAGATTCTAACAAGTGCTTTTCACTAAGAACTGAAGGGATAATCCTAGACCTGGGGATCTGATGGAAAGCTTTGCATCCTAATGGAACATAGACTAGGCCTCCATAATTTTCTGCCAGAACCAATACACCACCAGAAGTCTTCAGATGTTGCAAAGTCAAGGGCAGGGTGGGGGGCGCATAGGGAAAGTTCTCCAGGTGTGCTCTCTTGCCTTACCTGCCGCTGGTTTTCGGTTTCCAGCCGCAGTCGAGCTTCTACGCACCTTCGGGTCTCTAAGAAGGCTTGGCGTTGAGCTCGATCGGATAGGTAGCTAATGAAGATCCCAGCGGTATTCATGCACATAAATAAAACCGCCTGAGCTGCTGTCTGTAGGAGGCAAAGGAAGTGATCATAAATGAGATGCCTGTGTTAAACTTCAGCACAAACATTCTCCATCATCTATAAATTCAGGCTATGGATATCTAAAATAATACTCAGGGGATCAACCATCTGTCTTTTAACCAATGAACTGAAATCAATTTGGACATTCCCCAAACTACACTATGGGCATCTTTTTGAGATATTGAAGTGTAAGATGTAGCACTTCCATAAATGAAAACTACCCCTCACAGTTCGAGTAATTAGTTTCCACTCATTTCATGCTTACATACCAGAATCCCAAATAATTAAGGAATTGCAGACACACATGCTTTTAATTGATTCCACTAACACCCACAGATGAATCAACTGAGGATGGAGTTAATTAATCTACTTAAGAAATACATCTTGCATATTAATCTATGTTTGTCTGGAAGTTCTAGCAGAGGACTTTGACTTTGAATATGCTCCTCCTATTTGAGATGGTCATCCTCTTCTACCCGGCATGCAACTTCAGGAGGGATACAGATGGAGGGATGGGGAAGGAAGGGGACAACTGCTTGCTGTTATCAAAACTGGCAATCAATGGAGTGACTTGAAGAAGCCTTCCGTAAATGAGATATGAACATACCAACTCTCTTTGGATCATTGTCAGGTCTGAATATGAGGCAGTGATGAATCAAAGTCATAGACCTGGCAAATTATACTTAATTAGGTCAGTTAAAGTCCATATAGTTTTTGTAAAGCTCTTTCTACTGCCAAGTCTTCCCCATCCAAGCAGGAAAGCCCAGGGTGATTCAGCAGTGACTGCCTTCAGCCGGTATTTGCTGCCATCACCTTGTTTCCCTCCTTTCAGCAAGGTTCATAGGAGCAAGGCCAAAAGAAGGAAAATGCCTTCCCCTTTCTGCTAATAGAGAAACACATGTATGTAAGCTCAGGGTCTGGTAGTCAATCAGGAGAAATCTAGGCATTCTGAAGTGTGTGACCAGATTGCAAATCCTCCAAGAAAAGAATACAGCGCAGCCGATGTGTTCAGCCAGAAGAAAAGGATTAGGTCTTCAAAGAGAGAGTATGATCAACGAAACAATGAATAGGTCCAACTAAGATGATGATTAGGTCTCAAGGAAATGCTAGCTTTTAACATAAACCCAGCTGCCATGACTTGAGCACATTCAAAATAAAACAGACCCTAATACAACTCTATCTAGTTACTCTTTGCATTTAGAAGTCCAGACAAATTAGATTTCTTTCTGCACCCTGGAAGATTTCAGCCCACAACAAAGGGCTGGGCTTAGATTAATTTTTTTTCTTCCCCTTAGCTAGCTACTGCTCGTAGGTAAAGTTGTACTGTAATGAGAAAATGTACGTCCAGCAAAACTCTTTCTTTGCTATTTAAACTCAAGGAATCGGGAGCTATCCTTGCTCATGGATCTGGCCAACTAGCCTCCATAGACTTACCCTTCTAGATATAGAAGGCATTGGTCGATGGTCAATCGTGGGTGCATTCTGACCTAACACAAATCTCTAGAGGCTTGCATTGCAAAGGTGCCCACTGCAGCTCTATTCACCAAAATTGCTAAGCTCGTTTTGCTTTGTGGCTTAGCATGCTATTTGAACCTAGACGATTTGGTTAATTACAGCTCAGTCAATCATGTACGTCGAGAAGCAGAATTAATTCATTAACCATGTTTAGTAAGCATGTTGGGTGGACCTAGCCAGTGAGGTTCCTGAATAAATTTGAACCCAGGCCCTATATCTGTCTCTCTGTTAAAAATGGTTCGCTTGTGTAGGGCCTGAAAACATGGAACAGAACAAGATAAGATGCAATAACCATCTCAAGCTTGAAAGGAAAGTTATTATTAGTGCTCTTCTCGTAGCAGTTTTTCTGCTCAGAGGCGATGCCAGGGTCACCCTGTGGCAATGCAAGTTCTACCTCTTTTGTGCACCCATGGGACATCGTGGCGCAGGCAGAAAAGGGGGATGTCCAGAGGCGGGTGAAGCTTCTGGCATTTTTTCCTTTGCAGTCTCCCCTTCTGGACCTCTCTGCTTCTGCCTATCTTTTCACCTCATTCAATCTGATGGCAAAGAAATGGTGAGGTCCTCATTGGCGGGGTGCAAGGTTCTTGCAATTATTTCCTTAGGAGGTGACTGGCAGTAGAGTGGATGTGAAGAGACTGCTTTTCACAGCACAATCATTCTTGCCACAATCTGCCACCTCCATTGCTTCTACCCTTCAGCCCAATCATTAGGGGAGAGACCATAAAAAAACTCCTCCTGTGAAGCTTTTTCAGAGAAGGAAGGAGGGGCAGCCAGGGAGGCTGGAGGATGGAGAGGGGAGCAACAATGATCAACCATTGGAACCGCCATGATTTTGCCACATTGAAGTAACCTCATAAAGAAACTTGAAATAAATTCTCCAGCAGCCCAACAGTGAAGTAATAAAACATAGTAATTAATAGCATAATAAAACAGAGCTCTCTTTCACAGGGAAGAAGACCGAGTGTGTGGGATCATACCCTCCTTAAGACCTGCAACTCCTTAAATCAAATGCACATTTTCTTGCATCATGCTGCAGCAGGAGAGGATACTCACATGAGGACGGGAAAAGAGGTAGCTGCCGAGAGCTGCTGCTTATAGATCCACACACAGTCTAAAGCAGTGTTTCTACCTCAGCAGCTTTAAGAGGTGTGGACTTCAACTCCCAGAAATCCCCAGCTGGCATGGA